TCTATTTTAGTTAAATTTTTAAAATTTATCTTAAGAAAAAAATATACTAACCAAAGTTTGTATTTGGTATTAAAGGCAAAATGGTGGAAATTCTCGTTTTCCAAGAATCGAGGACATGCCACATTTCCATTATGACTTTGTGGATCTTGGTGAGCAGGTGAAGGTGAGATGGAACATAATATTTATTATCTTTTGTGGTAGTGTGGAGTTACATCTTTATGTTCAAAAACAAAACCTTTATTCTAGAATAAAATGTTTTTACCATTTTTGGGTTATTAGTCTGTTGTTAATAACAGTGGTTTCAGACCTCTGAATATTTCACCAAAAGCCCAATCAAACTCCATCAAGTACACTGTACTTATGTACAAGGATTAGAAGAGCTTATTTGGAACCGAGAAGTTTAACCAAAACCCTACACCATGAGCTCTGAGAAAAATGTTTCGTGTGAAAGCTAAAACTCGCTTGATAAGTTCCTCAGAAGAGCTAGCTACAGTATTAGCTCTTTTTCATGTTCTCAGCGTGGCAATTTCATGCAGATGAAAATGCATGTCTTTGAATCTCTTATCGCAAAAAAGAAAATGTTTTTTTCATCAAATGGAACTCAAGCTTTAAAAGTAATGGCGAAATTAATTTTTATTTCTTGATTTCGACGCTGCAGAGTTAAGATCTTATACTGTCAGACTCTGGTGTTAAATCTATTAACTATGGTTAACTATGGTTAAATGTGCTCGAGATATATGAAGCCCTCTCGACACAACAACCTTAAAGGAGATTTATGCTCCAAGCACCATGTAATTTTGAACCTGTCGTGCGTGTACTTACCACCTTTTGCGGTTCCAAACGGTAAACTAAACCTTTGTGAAAATGATTTTTTGATCGTGGGCCTTTTGAATCCCATCTTCTGTTGAGGATGTATGACGTCCCAGAATTAATTTTAAAAGACGGAAACTAAATTGCGTGGATCACAAACAGCTGATGCTTGGGTCTTCAGCCTCTCTGTTCTTGTCATTTACGATTCTAGTGCGGACATATTGTGGATTGAAGTATATTACTGCACTGTGGAGCGGCCAAGTTAAGAAACCGAAAATTATTGGACATGATAGCACTTGAAAGCGAAATAGTGCCTTTTTTTTTTAAATAAAAATATTGTGTGCTCTTATTTATCTGGTGTACAGGTTGGTCTTTATACAGACAACGGAGGCGACAAACGATACCATAATGGAACTGCAGAGGAAGGAACGCTGCTGGTTAGTAATTAGACCGCTTCATTGTTTTTGCTTTCGGGGAGGAATACTAATAGTGCCCCTGGTATAGCCTCTTGGAGAGGTGCTGTGTTTTTGGTAAAGCTCTGTTGCATGCTGTTTGTCCAGTATCATTTCAACTAAGGCGAAATCTTATTTGGATTTTGTACAGAGTTACCTAAAGTATAATAGTATGGACGGGATTGATATGCCCGCTGTGGCCATTATAATTAATTGATGAGAAGTCTGATAACATTTACAGGCTGTTTGATGGTAGTGTTACATAGGAACAGTGCTCTACAATATCCATCAGGGTAATAATAAAGTAATTCATATGAAGCATTTTCTGAGGAGTATTGGAATTAGATCTGGATTGTTTTCCCTTGTTTTGTTCGCGATTGCCAATTTAAGCCACCCTCTGTACTAGAACGCATTTCGATGGGGTGTCGTAATTCGTGAAACCATAACCAAAGAAATCACAAAAGCCAATCACAGTAAGCAAAACATTACAGCAAGCCGTTGAGAACTCAGAGCAAAAAATTTAAAGTGCGGGAAAGCTACAATGAACAAGTCGCTGTTGGTTTGAGTTTTGAATCTGATTGGTCGAGAAAATAGCGCGAGTTTTCGGGACAAATCTCGGAGCGAAGTAAAGCAAAAACCAAGCAATTAATGTTTACTTTCGATAATCAATTGAAATCGCCCTAATCAGATTCAATACTAAAGGCAATTGTGACATCACAATCACGCACTTTTCCGCGCTTCAGGCAGTTTGCTTACCTCGTTCCCAGGGTCTCTCGTCTTCCCGCCCCCCCTGGAGCGAGAGATGGGGGCGGGTGGATGAGAGTCCGAAGTTCGTAGTTTGCTTTTTTCTTCTTTCAGCTCCCATTGGCTTTTTGTAATTTTTTTTTTTTCTCTGATTGACTATCTTTAATATTTTGACACAACGTCGATAAGTAGTCTTACTTTCCAACTGTCGTGAATTGCACTGCAGTCAGAAAGTCTGAGAAAGAGAAAAATATAATTCTATGGCAAGCGAAGGTTGTTACTTTTGCATTGAGAGGTTCTTGTGCAAGGATAGAGACGGAGGCATGTTGCTTGACAAGACAAGAAAATACCAGAACAGGACCACACAAAAGCGTTGTGTTCCCATTTCATTGAATTACGTCATAAATTTACCCCCCGCATTGTGTTTTCCATAGTTTATTTAGAAACAAAATATCTGGAAACACCGTTACTACAAAACTTTTCTCGTGAGCTCAGAAATCTTGCCGTCTAGTATTTTGGATCAAAAGGTTTCATTATGTTTCCAATAGTTGGTGTTTGAGAAACAGGCATCACTGATTTTAATTTCGATGCGTTGTGATTGAGCTTATGCTGCGATATTGAATATGATATTTGCCTTTATTACACCATTGAGACGATGGGAAATTAGCCGTAAGGGATTCACTGTTAAAGCTAATAATCAGGCGATTTGTTTTGACATCAAAAGTTTTCATTCCACTCTGAATTCAATATCGTTACATCAGCCCAGACACACCCTCTCTAATTGAGTTCTCGCGTGGAATGTTGGGTAAAATGGTCTTTAGTTTCCTTTATGTTAAAAATACAGGGTGTATTGTTCTCGTTCTATGTATTCTTGTGGAAATTTGAAGGAGGAAATTTAACAGGTCTTGAATTCTGTTACAGGTTAACGTTATATGCCGAGGAAAGTCATGGATCTTGACGAGGACGGTCGGTAATTTGAGGCTCCTTGATCGCGCACTTCACAGGTAAAATTTATCGTGTACCATAGATTGTGTAATGCTGTAGACGTGCATTATTTACTTTGTTAATTGTCATTTCACTAAACGTCTTAATCCCTAATTGTAGGATTAAAATCTCCTCGAACGCACCACACACATATTGTGATAGGAATATTTTTACGTAATTGTGTAAGCGTAAACATTAGTTTATTCCTTAGACTTCCAATTAGTGTAGAATTAGTTTTATGAAGAAATACGTTTTTGTTTTAATTTGACCTTTTGATAACACAGTTGTAAATTTTTATTGGTGAGCTATTGTTAGTTTTGTGATTTACATGTAACATGCTCAAAGCTGCAAAGTGCGTGTACATTGAAATACATCTGGGCGCTTCTTGATAGCAGGAATGAATTTGATTTTCACATTTGTATCCTTTTCCTATTCGTAGAAGTTCCGTCTTCGGATCGAGTACGCTCTCTTTCGAGATTCTTCATACACCGTCGACGACAGTGTCAAGAAAGTTGTACATTTTAATCCTTGAAGGCCTGGAACACCATCCAAACCAATGTTTATTTGTAAAGAAATTTGGCTGAAAATGACAGTTTGGATACAAAAAGTTATATCCGCGAAATTAACATGCTTAAGAAGCATTAAGTTCTTGTGGCAATATCATGTTGCTCAGCCAGTCATGAAAAGCGGGCAATACTGAATCTGTATTTCGTCGAAGGAAGTACGCTTTGATAAAATTTTTTAAGTTAAGCATTCGGGGAGAATTATTGCCCATCAATTTAAAATTGCTTGTGTGGAATTAATGAATCATAAAAGGACTACAAAGCTTTCGCGCGCATAGATTAAAGGTGAAATCGTCCCACCTGCTCCGCCATAAAAAGCGTGGTACTTATCCACTTGGTAGGAAATCATAGAAATTGGGAGACGTACGGAATTTCGGGAGCTGTCTCTGATTTAGGCAATGCATAAGGAAATGAGTGGGCTGATTTGATTTAAGTTATGTTCAATGTGTGCATAAAATACTGAATTTCATACGCTAACCTCCCTTTAAGACAAGTGTTTTTTCCGTCATTGAAATTTTAAAACTCTATGATATGCATGTCATTTCCTCTGTGTTTGTCGCTGTAAAGTGGTTATACTCTTCACTCCGAGACTTTTCTGTGCTTGACACCGGTAGAAGTTTTTTTCTTTTTCCTGTGATTGGTCAGTTAAGGTGACCGCTGGTTGTTATGGGGCATGAGTCGTGGCGACCACTGGTAAATGTACGAGCACAACCGGTTTATCGAACTGGTTTTAGCATGCAAAATGTTTGGCGAAGCCTGTTTTTTCACACTCGATAGCCATATTCGCGTTTTTCCGTCAAATGTGTTACTTACGTTTTTAAATGATGTAGAATAGGATGACAGAACCATAATATGGTCTGAAATGGCGGGTATTACACAACAAATAATCGTTTATGATTTGAAAATATACCTATGGGCAAAATTGTTTGTTCAAACTACCAGCAAGGTTTGATTATCCAGCACGTAAGAGCTTTCCGCTCGAGTTTGATTTCCATCGAGTGTTACATATTGTTTGTGCAATATCAGTCCTACATTAGGTGTTATTGTGGTTGTTGTTATCACTATTATTAACTATTATTATTATTATTATTATTATAAGTTTTGTTGTTGTTGATATTACTATGTTACTTTAAATATTTATTTATCTGTTTTTAGGTGCTTATTCGACAGAAGTCACAGCAAATTGAAGTCTCTCGCACGCCTTCCCGATAGTGAAAAGTTTTGCCGAAGCGAAGTAAGTTACTCTTCTCTCAAACCAAAACGGAAATGATGAGTTGATTCTCTCGCGTTTGTATCCCAGTTTCCACTTCTTTTTTTTTTGTAAAGTATCTCGAGATTTAGCTTATACTTAATGTTCGGAATTCACTCGTAAGTGACTGTAGTGTGCTACTTATGTGTGCTTAGCACCGCTTAATTTATCACGAAGTCGCCCGCTATGACATTTCTGACTCAAAGGGAAAAGGCGTTCTAGTGCTTTATCATCTGAGCAACAAAGAAGTACAAGTTTAGCGTCCTGTACACAACTAGGATTAGTGCAGTCGAAAGTTTTCTGTATATACAGAGAGCAACGATTATGATACTTTTAAGCATAGTCGTTCAACATTTGTGATGAAGGCGGAACAGAAACATCCAGGCAAGTAATCACCAATGTGTTTTTACAGGAATGCTTTCAGGTGGTACAGGATTACCTGGCCAGATTATCCGAGCTTGCTGATGATGCTATGAACTGTAGTGCAGTATTGAACTGGCTCGAGGTGAGTTGGTGCAGTATCAGGGCTTAGCAAAAACATGGAAGTCGAAAAAAAGCATAGAGTTGTATGTTTTAGTTTGCAATTGTTGCAAAAGTTAAGGCACGCTTTTTGAAACTAGCCATTTGCTTGTTTAACCAGAAAACTTCATTTTAAGATTTCTGCGTTTTCAAGGGAGCTTGCTCTAACCTGGTTCGAAATTTTATCACTCCGATGTCGCTGTATTCTCTATTTTTAATATCTTAGAGCTTATCTCTAAAAAAAAAAACGTTGCAATTACGAAAATGACAAGATCGGAATTCTTTAAATTTTCCAGTCCTCGCTTTCAAAGTAAGACAACCTAAATATAGCCATAACTTTATTTCTAACTCATCAGCTTGATAACCACGGAAACCACACGCTTCTAACAGACGAATCACCGATCAACGTTCCAGGAATAGCGGCTGCTCACGTAGTCAAACGATACACCGCGCAAGCCGTGGACGAACTCTCTCTTGAGGTAAGTTGAATACCACTACTGGAAATGGATAAACCCGGGAAGGTCACCAGTAAACACTGATACGCTTGGGCGGGGAAAAGAACTGCTGAGGCTTGTATAGTAATTTGAAAATACAGGATGAAATACGGTTACTGGTCCGCGTACAAACTCACAATCCCGTCCGAAACGTTTTTACGAATAAACAGCAATTCCATGGTGACCATGATTACTATTCTTTTATATGCATGCAAATGCTCCCGCTTGGCCTCGCTTTTGAAAGAAAATTCTTCGGTTTTTAAACATGTTTTGAAGGCTAGAATGGCTGACTTATATGAATAGCGTATTCGAGCCTTAGATCTTTCGACTGCTGCGTATCTTTCGTGGTCAGATACACAACCATTGATCTTCAAAGATCTCTATGTTGAGCTTTGAGATCCGAGCGCTGAGTGTGCAGAATGCATGCCACATGTGAAGAAGTTTTATGACCAGGCTTTTTATCCAGTTCTCGGTGCCTTAGTGGAAGGGTATCGATCTTTGTATTCCGAAGATCTGAGGATGATTCGAAACATCGTGGGTGGACTCAGTTATTTTACTTTGTCTCACAGTTGTGGCAGAGGAATAACTTTTTCCCTCAAACTCTTTTTCTTTACGTCTGACCGCGTATGACTTGGTTTTGTTTTTCCAGTGAAGGATTAGTTAGAGACTCAAGCGTGATCGCATGACCAAATTTGATTAAAAATGCAAACTGTCCAAAATAAGTTATGATTCAATCCAAGTGCTGGGCTTTGTCAGACAGGTGGAAGCATTGAAATACCTTTATCTAGATTCCCATATTAAAAAAAATAATAATCAAATTTAATTGCTTTTTGCATCTTTCACTACAAGTTGTTCAAAACTATTTTTAGCTCAACCTAAACAGTGTAGAAATTGGAGCGTGAAAGATCCTTTACCTTGAGTCGACATTGGGAAACTCGTTATCGGCCGCACTTCAGTAGAATTCAATTCATGTAAAATCCTTGTTTTTCGTGGGCTACACCTTCTCTTGGCTTGCTTTGCTTGTATAACTTTGCGTAGTTTTGTAAAGAATGCGTCAAAGAATTGTGAGAATTCGTTGCATGTAATAAGATTTTCAATGTCGTTTAGTTTGAATGAAAACTTTTCGTGACGTAATTAGTTATTCGAAAAAAGTTGATATGGCACATTGATTTTGAAAGATTGCATTGTTTACTTTCTATACGCGCTTATGTGACTTAAAGTTTTCTTTATTTTCCTTTCTTTTTAATTTTTTTGTGGTTTTCTCATTATTTCCTCTATTTAGCTTCATTCAATAGTTCTCGCTTATTATTTCAGATTTATTTCAATTTATTTGATTATGGTTATTGTTGTTTGATTTTGTGAGAAAAATCCCAATCGAGCAGGCCTTCGCGTCAGAAAATTTCAACGAAAGTGGATATTCTAAAAAAAACAAAGATCACGGCATACGACGTCAAACATATACGTCAATTAACGCGTTGAACTTGGAGCACATTTCGATCGAGTGTTGCAGTGATGAAATTTGTATAATTAAAACAGGCAATCGGAAAGAAAGAAATTGTTATAAGGAACTGTTAAAATCTCTAACTAAACACATTTAACCTGTTTTATGTGGGAGGAATGCTTTGGAGTCGCGTTTAGTTCTAGTTTCTATTCGATAGGTTGAGAGACTGCGCGAGTTTTCTAGACCAATCACAGAAACGATTGAAATGTCGGATAAACTTTAAAATCGTTTGTCGTGATATGTTCAGTCCACAGGTAACTGTTTTTCATCCAAGTCACACTTTCTAGAAAAATTTTGTTTAAAAATGGACCAAGTTCATTAGCTTTTGTTGAGCAAGACTTAATTAAAAAAAAAAAAAACCGAAACTGTTTGCAACTTCCGCTAGAATGATGTCATGCCAACAGCTGTGGGGGTCATGTGATTAGGAGTACTTGAGGAAATTGATAGATGCCAAGACTGATAACTGCTCGTAATAATTCAATTGCTATAATATGTTATTCATTCTTGACATCACACATTTTTTGGCCTTGCACCGAAGCATTTATGTTATTTTGGATATAAAATAGAATCATTTGTTTCAATCACTGATGCTGTGGTGACAGCGGCCTTTAAGTAGTTTCGCATTTATCTTGTAAACGACTCATATAGCCTGGAGCGGCTCCTTATGACGTGGGAATCAATACACTCCGCTCTTCGTAGCGTGTCCGCTTTGTTTTTCTTCACAAAGCAACGCAAAAAACCAATATCGTAGACTGTTTGTCCACCAAAGGTACTTTCAAACAATGCTCGCCCCGTTACGTTTTCATTTCACTGTGTTTTGTCTGTAGATGTTTTGGAGGTGTTTGACTTTTCGCTATCGCTACTACTCTAGGTTGGAGGGATCATCTCTGTGATTGATATGCCCCCTGTCGATGAAAGTTTGTGGTGGAGAGGAAAACAAGGATTCGAGGTATTTAGCAACTTCATTTTATTTACTTCAGTGGAGTCGAAATTGCTCCGATGAACTTGCGTTTACGAGTATATCAACGAATCGAAGTTCGTATTATGTTACAAAAGATTGTTTAGAATTATGAACAACTCTAACGCTTTCTACGCCGGTACTTTAACTTTGTTTACAAAGCGCAAATATGCTCTTTGCTTAGATTGAGGTAAATATTTACTGGTACCTCCTAGCTTTGATTCATTGTTAAAGGCAAATAAGAGCAATGGATGTCGTGTGGGTTTATCACCTGCCTTGTCAAATGCGATTAAGTAAATTTACTACGTGTTCATTGCTAAAGATGCTAGAGCTTAACAAACAATTGCAAGTTTTAGTTTGAATACCGTTAAGTGATCTCATTCTTAGAGGCCAATACATGGTATATGCGTTGATCACTAAAAATATTTCAAACCCAATTTTCTCTCAGCAGTTATTGTTTGAATAAGTCAAAGTGCTTATTATCGCTTCTGTTATGGTCTGTGTTGCCTTAAAGATAAGTAGTTGATATCAACTGATTGCTCAAAGCTTCTTTCGGTTTAGTCATGCATCAGCGAGTAAAATTTTGCTTTTAAAGTGGAAGGGTTGAGATCTATTCGGGACGAAATCTGATGTTGCCACTTCCCTATTATTGCCTCCATCATTTTTTGGAGCTATGGAAACATTTTACGCTTGGAAAATAAGTGTTTACAAAATGAAATGATTCTAAAATAGATTTGAAAGGGGCACTATTGTTCGTGGACTTCTCAGTGATGTTTTAATATCTTGTCAGGTACTCTCTTGCAACGTATTAGTCGTTTGATTGCTCTTATTGATATCGAACAAACACGTCTTTGCACCCAGGTGTGCTTTTGTCGAGTGATCCAACAGCCTACTCCAAAAGGTTTAAATTCAAAATAGCTGAAATCTGTTTCAAATTTGTTGTAAACTTATTTTCTCCCTCTCCGTTTGCCAACAAAGTTTGAATAGACCGAGGTTTTCAAACTACTTAACGATAATCTGTTTTAACAATAGAGGGGTCACTAACAATGTCAAAGCTCTTAAATCATACCTTGGGATATGAACATAACACTTCTCCGCAATTATCCTAACAATTTGTATACAGAAAACTATTTTAGATAGATCTCGATCACTGTAACAAACGGTCTTGTTAATTTTCAGGTAGGATTTTTTCCAAGCCAGTGCGTTGAAGTAATTAGTGACAAGACGGACGGTAATACCCCCCTGTCAGGCCACGCGGCCCCCGCAAATATGACGCCAGGTTTGTGTATTCGTTTGTTGATTTTTTTTTTTGTTTTGTTTCGTTTTACGATTTTTTTTAACTAGTCACTCGGTCCATCGGCCAGTCAGTCAGGTTGGTCAGTCAGTTGCTCAGAGGGTCGGTTGGACAGTCAATCATTCTGTTAGTCAGTTACTTAGCCAGTCTGTTTGTTGTGGGTCAGCGAGCCAGCGAGTCATTCAGCAGTCAGTTAGCTGCTCAGTCGGTCGTTCCGCTAGTCAGTCAGTCACTTGTTCATTTCACCTTTTGTCCTCTTTTCTTGTGTCTCTGATTGGCTGTCTGTATATGGATTTGTACTTGTCAGTTCGGTTTTTTACTCAAACGTGAAGTCTGTGTCTCTTGATGATGGTTTCATCAAACCTATTCACGCCTGAATTATATTGAGATCAGAAACATGGAGACATACCTCCTCCCTCTTACATATTTCTCAGTGAATTAATTATTTATCTTATGTTTTATTCCAATAGTTGCAAAGAAGCGAGGTAAAATTGTGTCTTTCTTAAGACTGTTTCTATCCTCGCGCCCATCAAAGGCACGGCTCCTGCAGAGTGGTATTCTAAAGTGAGTTCTCAAATACTTTATTTCATTCGCTACATAAGTTGAGCCACTGAATTTTCCTAATGCTACGTGAAGATTCAGCTCGAATTTCTTTCTTTTTGTAACAAACCACACAGGGTAACTTGGATTTTTCCTCTTTTTTTGCTTTCAGGGAACGGACATTTGGCTGCGACTTAGGCGAGCATTTAGTGAAAACCAACCAGCAAGGTAAAACAAAGCACGTGCATGCATACACCACAAGTACATTGTCATGAAAGGAGTTGTAATGAATTTCATTAAAATGAGGAAACTGTTTGTGGTGCTGCACCAATCTTTCCCATATGTTGTGATGGAACAATCTTACTGAACTAAATCAGTTGTTTGGATATATCAACAAAGTTGAAATGGTAAATTAGCCACCGTCAAGATTACAAAAGCTGACGTTTCGAGCGTTAGCCCTTCGTCGGAGCTCCGACGAAGGGCTAACGCTCGAAACGTCAGCTTTTGTAATCATTACGTTGGCTAATTTACCATTTCAACTTTGTTGATATATCCAAATTATTTCGTTACTCCCACCGACGCAGCCCCAAACAGTTTCTTTCGAAACTATCAGCCTTTAAATCAGTTGTTGCCTGGGTTTCGACGTGTGATGAAAAATAGTGAAAAGGTCATGTCTTACGGGAATTCGCAGAGCTTGATTTGTGCCGCGTATGAACAAAAAAAACGATGGAATGCGAAAAGAAGAAAAAATGGCTCTGATAGTTCCTCATTTTGTAGAACTTTTGTTGTGAAAATATTCCTGGTTTTTCACAGCCGCGTGAGAAGTTTCAGAAGCGTATGTTTAGGAGACGATCAATGAAACTTGTAAGTCTGTATTCTAGTCTGAAATGTTTTAATAAAATTGTGTTCTCCTTTCAGTTCCTCAGGTGCTTGTGAAATGTGCTGAGGTGATCGAGAAGAGTGGTATCGTAGATGGAATTTACCGTCTGTCTGGCATGTCTTCCAACATTCAGAAACTTAGGTAACACTTTAACACTTTCACATAACTTCTTAGTTTGCTTGACGTGCACATTCTGTCCATGTGGTCCCTTTGCAGAACGAGTTTAGAGATATACCTAGATATAATTTTTCTTTTTTTTTAGATTGGCGTTTGATGGGGAAGAACCACCTGATCTTCTAAAAGACTGTTACATCCGGGACATTCATTGCATCAGCTCACTGCTCAAGATGTATTTCAGGTAAGAACTAGTGAGGTATCCCTTTTAACCCGTGGTACAACCCGTTTAACTCCTCCAGGCGAAAACTGGGTCTTCTTATCTTCTGCTTAAGAAATCCAGGCCAATTAGTTTTTCAAACTTGTGAAGCGCAATCCGTGTTAATCTTGTGGCACCTTTAATTATTCTCTCCTTTTATCTTTACTCCTTCCTTCTAATACTTTTTCTTTATTTGCATGATATGTGTAGGTTTATGTGTTTTGGTGTGCTGTTGTATTTTGTTTGTTTTGTTTTGTGGCTTTCTCTAGTTTGACGACAGTTTTTCACGGTGGAAAGATCGAGTCGAAGTAGGTCTTTTGAAATTCGGAGCGAACTGAAATCGTTTGGAGCATGGGCCTGAGGGTCGCCACAAAAAATTTTTCTAATTTTTATTCAAATAGTGAAATATAACTTAATTTAAAATCACCAAAAATATTTACAAAAGTTTGATAAAAATCCTAAAAATCGAAAAACACATTAAAATGTCCATCAGAAGCTAAAAAAAACACACCTCGTCTACGTTTACTTCTCGAGCTTTTCGATAATAATAAAGATGATAATGATGATGATAAAAATGATTATGATAACAGTAATTTGAAGTCTCTTGACAAAAAGCACTTTACTTTCGACAAGCATTACAGACGATAAGCAATGTCAAAAAACTTTTTTCTTGTTCTTTTATTTTTTTCAGAGAGCTACCTAACCCGTTGCTGACTTATCATCTCTACGACAAGTTTGTGGTAGGCTCAAGCTTATCGTCATACATTTTTTCCCCTGTTTTTTGTTCTTTAATTTGTTTTATTTATATATGTATTTATTTTATATTTCATTGACCTTTGTCGTCATCATTATCACCTGCATTACGGTTATGATTATTATAGTACATAGCTTTCTTTTTAATGTGGAACCCTGGGAAGTATTCTCGCGGCTGAATTGGCGTTTTGAACAAAAAGACAGACAAAGCAAGTACCAGATTCCATGGACGAACATTTGGTCGAAACAATAAAAAGTAACAAACAAAACAAAACGAAATGACGTATTTTGGTAGTTGAATATTTTTTGCGAGTAAGTGGTGATTGTCGCCCTACAAATTGTTGCAATACAACCACAATCCCGCAACAATAGGAGATCCGAGCTGTAGATCACTATTGTCCTCACAGTGTTCTGTCATCTATGTATTTCAGACCGCCATCCATATTTCTGACGAACTACAACGTCAGATTGCTGTCCATCACGTGGTCCAGCAACTTCCTCCTCCCCACTATAGAACACTGGAGTACTTGCTACGTCACTTGTCACTTGTCGCCTCGTTTTCGCCCCAGACTGGTATGCATGCGAAGAACCTGGCGATAGTGTGGTCACCAAACCTCCTTCGACCCATGTCGCTTGACAGCGGAGGTGCGGCCCTATTGCAAGTTAATGTCCAAGCTGTTATTGTGGAATATCTTATTAAGAACGTTAAGGTGTTTTTCGACGAGAAGGCGGCTGCCGCCGCTATTGTGGCAAATCCGCGGTTTTCTTCAGGTTCTTGGGAAAGACAACAAAAGGTTGTTGCTGATTCAGGTAAGGAGGTTTCAAAACGCGATTTATTGTGCGAGTGCCCCGCGATAAATATATGACAGTTTGCCGAACTTGCTAATTTTCTTACAAAAATTTTGCTCACGTAAATACATATTTACAATTACATATTTGTACCTCATCCATACTCGGCTGCAACTTTCTCAAATCTTTTAGAACTTTGAAAATGAACCAAATATAGCCCGGGAAAAGTGGCTTCTTGAGAAAGTTCCGTTCTCGATCATCGCCAACTTCACTTGGTATCGAACAACTGGAGGCTACATGAAAGCGCCAAGCCCTTACCCAGCTTGCATTTAGTCAATGGTGTAAGAAAATTCATTCAGTAACCGCTGAGTATTCATTCATTTCAGATATCGCCGGCGCTCCTTCCCTTGGTCCACGAATGGCTTCGCTGTCCATTTCCCCTCCTACGAAACTGATATCGCTGGAAGAAGCCCGGGCACGTGCTCAGACCACGCCTTCCAGACCCATGGGGAGACTTATTCGAGCCAAGTCGGTAGAAGAGCCCCATCGGGTTGAGACCCCCGTGTACCGGACGTCAGTGGAGGTTCCCGCAAGACGAAAAACAAGTGAAGGATCCATGAGTGGACGCAAATGGAAGAATTTCTTCACTCACAAAGGGAAGAATTTAGAGGCTGTACCGTCAGTGGCAAAAGTCCAGGAAACAAGCCAAGGGACATATTTTACCGTCATGCGTGAGCCCCGACCTCAGCGAGAGGTTGGTGTGGAAGTGCGCCAAGCACAGAGCGCAGAGAACGTCAGTGAGGTCTCTATTGACTCCCAACCGCGGCCTGCTGAGGCCAGACATGTACGCCGTGATGTAAATCATACTGGGAGGGAGATAACAACTCCTGTCCACCAACCGGTTACCATATCATTCACTCATCAACCTGCGCGACAACGCACACAAACGGCAAAGGAGATGAATGTTACAAGACACCATCCGGTATTAACAAAGTTCAAACGTGTGTCATCCGATCAAACTGTCTTTTATACAAAAGTCGAATATCATCCCGTACGGACCAATCATCGAAGAGCATCTACGGGTGGCGAGGAGCTCGAGATCTCCACCTTACGGAGAAGAGAAATTCAACCCTCCGAGCATTCCCGGCCCATGTCCCATTACGACAATCGTCCGCGGTCGGTTTACGATAATGAACCGACCCCTCATCGATATTCCACGCCGGTTTTCTCACAGAATTGCCACACGATAACCGAAGAACAGCATCGCTACTCGACGCCAGCAAACATGGGCACTCCTCCCATGAAGAAACCATCCAGACGTAGGCTCTCGGATCAGCAGATTGCCATCACTGGAGCGAGGCTTGCGCATACCTCTGTGGTACCTTGCTCAAACAGTAGTAGGCCAATGCACTAACAGAGATGGCCAAAAGGCAACAACTGCAGTTCACTGTCTCGTGACATCCCGGTCGTTTAACCCGCTATTTCTAAACCGGTATTTGTTTTAGAATACTCGTGGCTTCATGCTGTTTTCTTATTTTAGTGAAACGCAGAAGGCTCTATTTCTGTCGGGAAAATTACTGGAAACAAGCATCTTTTTAGTCTGCCGTATTGCCATCGAGGATTGGTGGATTTCGGGGCGATTTTTGCTAATCATAAATTTAACAATCTCTTAAAACGAGATAAACCTGAAAAAAAAAAAAAAGAGAGAGAAAAACTCCTTCGTGGACAACACCTTTGTCTTCAGTCACAATACTATGAATTTTCCTTGAAGTTTACACTTAAGTCGTACTATTGGAAGCAGTGACTGAACCAGATTAGAAGTATGCTACGATAACTTGGAGTTAGTTTCAGCTGCCTTGGATGCAACTGAACCCTTAAAGCCAAGAAAGTAGGAAAATTTGAAGGCACGCAATGAAACATCATTTCAATCTGATATTTTTTATTTATGTGAAAAGATATTTTGGTGTCTAAATAAGATATAGTGTTTTAATATAATTTGGAAGTGTTAATATTTGAAGAGTTGATAACAGTATTATTTTGGCCCTCCCCGTTGAATATCTAAGTGTATTTTTATCCTTCTTTTTGAGCCATCCCATTATTTAATAATATTGTATTGACGGGGATTCGTGTTCCAAAAGAGCTTAAGATTTTTTATTCATAAGTACTGTAAAATACTCTTAAATTATTGTTTAAATGCTCACTCCGCAAACTTTTAGCATGATATTGCACTTTCATCAGTCAGCTCTTGTAAATTAAGCTAAATGAGCTGATCAATAAAACACCTATGAGAAGAGAGATTCAAACTTAACATTGTGCTACGTAGTGTTTGTTGTGATTGACAGAGAAAAGTACGGTGATGAAACCTTTTTCTAATCCAGAAACACATAGTAGCAGTGATCTGATGAATTCCTGTCCAGGGTTGCATTCCTTATTAGCCAACTTAAATCTGGATTTGCGATCCAAAATTTGATTCTCTTTTCGATTGAGGACCAAATAAATCTAAGATTGCAATCTGAACGATCCAGCTCCGAACTTGGATCGAATTTTGTTTCAAAACAAAATTCTTGCGGACTCGGTCGGTTGCGCCTCATGAGTACACAACATTTTCACCACTGTGATGACGAATATCGTTGTCCATAAGAGTACAAACCACGCTGAACCAATGTCAATTTGTTTTTTACCAAAATATGACTGTCGATTTGTTAAATTTAGGTTCCAACAAATATTTTTGCTCGGGCGCGATTGGTCTAAACGTATCACGTGGTTGAATACTCTCCAGCAGAGTGAAGAGTTAGCTCGGCCGGGGGCAACATGGAGGACTGAGTACTCTTGTCTCAGGAACCCGGGACCATATAAATGGGCCTTGAGGTTTGTGCCTCATAAAACTCTCTCCAACGAAGACGTAGAATCGCTTTGATCCATCGATCTCCAAAATTTAAATAAGTCCCTCATTTCAGCGAATTGAAGAACGCCGTAAAGGTGTTAAAGGACAAAACTGAATCGGGCGACTGATAGTTTTAAAGATGTCCACACTTAGATTAATGGCCGTTCGTGAGGATGAGTGTTGCGTTATGAGTTTAAGAACGGCTGCGAGGGAGACACTTTTTGAATGTATTTTTTTATTTCACCGGCACGAATACCTCTGTAAATTCAAGTCACTCGCAATTGATACAAGTGAGAAACTGCCTAAGTTTTTTTCCTTATAATAATGGGATGTTTCACATCTAAACCTACGACTGATATTCACTTAGTTATTACTCTCAACGTTGCAACGTTATTAGAGAGATTTAGCACCACGTTTACGCTTACGTGAACGAAAAGAGTGACCACGTGACCTTGTTTTCCCGCCATTTTTTCACATTTACCGGTTGCACTTTGTCGTTTCTACGAGAAAGAAACCTATTTCGTGTTTTCCGTGTACGTAAGTTTTTAATTCCTCTTTCTCTCACAGAGTAGAAGTTAATTACGGGTAAAAGGCACTAAAACTATTCCTTTTAAGTCGCACAGGGGCGCCTTCTAATCCACCATGACCTGAGCTCCCGCGAAGCTGAAGCAAAGTGCAACCGGCGAAATTGAAATAATGGCGGGAAAAACTGAGGCCACGTGGTCACCCTTGTCGTTCACGTTTCACGTAAACGAGGTGCCAAATCTCTCCACTGTTGTCTTTCTTGCTGTGAGAAAACTACGGTCTTTCTAACTCTGCATATTATTTGCAAGAAACTGCTCTTAATTTCCCTTAAGTTCCATACCTTTCTATTGTGAATTCGACAAGAAAACAGATGTTCAGCTTGTACAGATAATTAAAATTTACGGTGAGTTACATTACAATTATGTTCATCCGCTTGTTAAAGGAGGAAGTAAATTGCTATGGTCAAAGTTCATCTCCATACAGGAATTTCCTGGAAATTGCCCTTCTTGTATTTTCAATCCTTCTTAGTCTCGTCCTGAGGTTTATTCCATGTCGAATTCGTGATCGGGAAAAGAACTCTTTACCATAATTTTACGCTCGTTAACACCTCTTTCTGGACTATATCTGTAACAACTTCTCAGTTAAATCCGATAATTAAAACCTTTTTCCAGAGGCACATAGCGCTGTAAAGTGGGGTACCTTAGGTACGCCCTTTATTCTCCAAACTCTGCTTACTTCATTAGTATGTAACAATCTGTTTTCTACGGCTATTTTCTTTGAAGGTCTCTTTTTGAGTGTAATTCTAATTTTGTTGGTAGATTCTCTATAATTTTTACATTGTCAATGTTGTTCAGTTTTTGTTTTGCCCGATCTTAACTGCAACTGCATGATTTTTTGTCAGTTTGAAAAAGTTCAACATTTTGAAGGTACATTCTCAGCGGTATGCGGGATCTGTTTGGCGTAGCTTAATCTGATTCGTTAGTAATAATATGTTAGTGATATGATGACGATGGTCAAAGATTGACAACCTGGTAACTGTCACCGTTTTAAGTTGATGACCAACATATTCTCATTAGTTCAGAACTAGCCCCAGAACTGTAAGGTTGTATTAGGTAGTATCTACAGCCGAATAAAGAAATATATCAATTAGAGTGTTAGTAAAATCTTAAAACTCCTTACAACGCTTACGCTGTATGCAAGGTTCGGTGAATATTGTCGATATTCGACGATATTCACCTCGCCTTCGGCGAATAATTGTTAAATATAATATAACTGAAGATTTAGCATGAGGCGAGCCGTCAGGAAACCAAGAGGCTTATGCCAGCCCCAGGCTCCTCATATTTTACAAAAGTGAGGTATCAGTTTTTTGGCGTGATTTAGGTAAAAAATGTTTTAGGTCAAAAAGGAAAGAACACACACACATAAAATCAAGGACAACAATAGCAGGGACTCATAAAAACCTATAATTGAGCAGCTTGAGAAAAGTAAGGAAGTGAAAGAAGGGATTCAACCGAGGAGTAATGTTCGCAATTTAGGAATTAAGATACTTGTATTTGTATTCAAACGATTTATCATTATTTTATGTAAAACTAGGAGGCTAGCTTTTTGCAATGTTCTTTGAATTTAAATGAGAAAATATCTCTTTAAAAGGAAAACGAAGCTATTATCTAATTACAAGAGATTGAGTAGAAACTGTTTGCGACTAACGAAAAAGGAAGACAAAAATATCTTGTCTCCAGTAATACTGTATCTGGTCATAATTTCATAATGGCATACGCGTGACGTTTGCTGAATTTGTTTACCATTGAGGTAGGAATTGGTTAGCCCTGTATGATGTTAAAAAACCACAGGACAGTTATTTTTATTGGTACGTTTCTAATTATAGAAATTTTTTTAATCCGTGCGTTAACTGAAAAAGGGAAAGTGGAAAGAATTGTAAACAAAATCATGGCCATCATATAAGAGGAATACGTTCTTACAACAGCATATTTTTATTTATTCTAATAAATTCCGTGATCTGAGACCAGGCAAAACTTCGCAGTGGAATGGAGAATGCTAATTAAAAGTCTTGCATAAAAATTCTACATACACCTTCGATACAGTCGCATAAAAACAAAATAGATAGCTAACGTGTTAGAAAACAAATATTGAGAGTCGCTGTTGCAGTGGTAACGATACAAAGCGGGATTATATCGGGCACCCTCTTCTCCGCTTTCACGGGCATTTAAAAAAAATTTACGCAAAATCTAACGAGGTTCCTTTAAAAACCATCGTTGCAGCTTCACTACTGTACGGAGTCCGAGAATTCTTGAACGAATTGGTATTCTCTTGTCCCGAAAACAATTTCAAGATTTATGGCCATCTTTTCATCTTTGGTCCGTCCATTTTTCTCTTCAGTTTATCGCTGCTTGCTTCTACAGCTTTTTGGCAAGCTCTTACAGGATGTTACCTGTTGCGGTGCCATGATCAGAGAAGAGTGTGGTTGAAGGCGAAAAACAACTTGTTTGTTGCTTTCATGCCACCGGTCATCTGGTTAATTTAGCTCATCTTTCAAACCGGCAGTCTAAATCCCACAGCGATCAACGAACGCTTTTCATTCCACTAATTTATTCATGTTTTTCCCGTTGCCATGCTCCCACCAATAACGTAGCTCCATTTTCTGCCTTTAAAAGCACACACAACCCACAATTCCTCTATTCGCTCCGACGAAGGGCTAACGCTCGAAACGTCAGCTTTTGTAATCGTTACGGTGGCCAATTTACCATTTCAACTTTGTTGATTTATCGAAATTATTTCGTTACTCCCACCGACACAGCCCCAAACAGTTTCTTTCGAAACTATCAGCCTTTATTCATTGGTTAATTTATGCTTTTGTTCAGGAAAATTACTGTGTTTGTGCCAAACTTGGACCGCAGCCAGCAGCACTCGCTAAAGCCAACACAACCGCAGAGAAAGAAGCTGTAATTAGAAGGTTCTCGGAGATGTAAACCGAGGCACAGATCATAGCATGGGGATTGCTTCTCGGACTTGTGATTCTGTCCACGATTTTGGTGACGATATATCGCTTGTGTCTACCAGTTGATCCCGTAATGCAAGGAAAATACGCTTTTCACGATTATGTGGCCGACAAAGCTGTGTCCCTTTTCAAAGAGAAAGTGAAACCTCTCGCTGAGCAACAAGCGCAGCAGTAGATCGACGACCTATCTGCTAAAGACAAGGACAAAATTGGGGAGGAACAAATCAAAAGTATCGAAAATCAGCTCAAGAAAATGTTTCCGAGACATGCAGAAAAGTTGCACGGACCAATTCGAGACAGTAACCTGAAAGTTTCGCCTGTCCTGCTTCCGACCAGCACAGAGTTAGGGCCTGATTACATGAGCCGGGCTGATTTCTTTTGTTTTCACTCTTTGGCGAACACCAAAACAAAAGAAATCAGCCCGGTTAACCGGGCCAGCCCGGCTCATGTAATCAGGCCCTTAGAGACACTTGGGGGCTCTTCACACACATAGTCAACTTCATCCAACAGGAAAAAAAAAAGGCAAACAAAGAAACAAACAAACTATTGTGAGATTTTTCAGAAGTTTTAAATCATCTAGACGAAAAAAATGTTATCCATTCCCGAGTCAATCACATGAAATAGATGTCAATCTAAAGGCCCGTGTAGACGGTTTCAACTTTTGCTTCGACAAGTATTCAACACGTTGTTGAACCAAATGTTCGGTGCGTTTGAACAGGTCCGTCCAACTTTGTTGAAAGCGTAAAAAATGTTGAAAGCTTGTTGAAAGCGTGTCGAATCAAGTTTGCCTCGGCTTAAGTTTTCATTCAGCATCGATCAACTTTTCCTTTGTGAGGCCTCCCCACAACTTTGTTTTTGCGTCCAACATTTGCCCAAAATCCGTTCAACTTCTGTTGAACGAATGTTGGTCAAATGTTGAAACCGTTTTAACGGGTCTTAAAATTAAACCCAACTCCAGTTAGTCATTTCAGTTACGTTTCCCCCTCTTCAGGCTTCTTGTGTCGTTTCTTTTACTCTAATTCGCCTTCGAGTTTTCCACCCTCGAATTTTCAGCGAAAGAATTACATGGAGGGGAGGGGGGTGGGGACGAGGTTTGAACCAACAGAGGGTGCATTCGTTTTACGGGCAAGCTAGCGAAACTCTGTTTGATTTTAACTGGCAAAATTTTGCTCAATTTCAGGCAGCCCAAGCTCTCAAATTGAATGTTTAGTGAGTGGTTATGGGGTTTTAAAGGAAAACGTTATATACTCCTATTGAGTCACGGTGACAAAGAGAAATAAGATAAAAGGGGCGAGGGCTGTTACGGCTGACGATTAAAATTTTGGACATTTAACGGCTACGGTTGACACAATATGACACATAATGAAACAAAATGACACAAAGTGTTAAGAAATGCTAAGCGCTTCAAAAAAATTTTTTTTTTTTCCAAGTATTCCCTAAATATACTATTGGTCAGAAATGTGAGTTTCGAAATCGCCCTCTCAATTTGACGGCACAAATTCGCGCACGTGCTCTCTCAATTTCATCTAATAATTTGGATCTATCAACAAAGTTGAAATGGTAAATTGGCCACCGTAACGATTACAAAAGCTGACGTTTGGAGCGTTAGCCCTTCGTCGGAGCGATTTTTTCTCAATTTCATCGTCGACTCTGAGAGAAAAGCACTTAGGTGTCAAACGTCGTTAAAATCCGACCAATAAGCTTTTTTAAGCTATTTTCCCGAGACCTAATTAGGGTAATGGATAAACCAGGATAACTCGAACTAAAGGCGTAAATTAGACATAAAAAAAAAAACAGTCGGAACCCCCAAAAAGAAGAGAGAAACAGACAAATGAACAAACAAACAAAGGAATGTTGTCTTGGATCACCCAGAAGCACTTCTAGAAATTTTAAACAAAGGCTGCTTCAAATTATAATTGTAAAATCAAGAACTGGAGAACACAAAAGTGTCAATTTCTGAACCATTGATAATAAAGTTTGACTTACTCACCATTATGCTACCTTAATAGTCATTAAAAAAAAGTTTTCAGTTAAGCCCCACAACAGTTACAACACTTTTTAAAGTAGTGTGAAAATATTTAATCAAATGACTCCACGCCCCTGATAGGGGAATGTAAATTATATGGCAAGCTATCATGACTGTGAATAAAGGCTAAAAGTTTGAAAGAAACTGTGGTGCTGTGTCGGTGGGGGTAACAAGATAATTGGTTATATCAACTAAGTTGAAATTGTAAATTGGCCACCGTAACGAATAAAAAAGCGGTGGTTGCGGTGGCCAATTTACAATTTCAACTTAGTTGATATAACCAATTATCATGACTGTGGTTTAGTAGAATTACCAAAATTATTATTATAATAGAGAAGTACAAGTTCTGACTGGTTGAGAACAATCGTGTCATGTCGTGGTGATGCCATGAATGTGGTCCACAATGTCAATTTCTAACACAAACTGAAGAAACCATTGGAATAAAAGGAACACAGTTGAGCTGGGTCAATGATGTTGGGAGCAATATGGCATTGTGTCTGTGAGGTTATTCAACAATATACACTTCACCGTCAGTACATACATAACCTTTATTTATACACGGTATCAATTTCATATAAAATATGCTCTTCCATGGAGCCGCGTGTAACTTAAATACAATTAATCATTCATAAGCAATCTAGAACAAGCACTATTTCTACTAATGAATACAACTTATGCTAATACTAATATTCCAATACTATATACCAACAGCAATGCTAAAACAACAACAAAAACAACAACAATCTTTATTTTGTACTCACTCTTGCTCAGAAAAAGTTACAACAAAGAGAATATTAAAAAGTATAAGTTAGAGTACTGGTTGCATAGAATAACCATAGGGGCTAGCGGGGCCAGGCAGCCAAAAAACTAAAAACTAATACTACAACTTGTCATACAGGCAGGCAGCCAAAACACTAAAAACAGGGCCAGGCAGCCAAAAAACTAAAAACTAATACAGTAACTACAACTTGTCATACAGGCAGGCAGCCAAAAAACTAAAAACAGGGCCAGGCAGCCAAAAAACTAAAAACTAATACTACAACTTGTCATACAGGCAGGCAGCCAAAAAACTAAAAACAGGGCCAGGCAGCCAAAAAACTAAAAACTAATACTACAACTTGTCATACAGGCAGGCAGCCAAAAAACTAAAAACAGGGCCAGGCAGCCAAAAAACTAAAAACTAATACTACAACTTGTCATACAGGCAGGCAGCCAAAAAACTAAAAACAGGGCCAGGCAGCCAAANCAATAAGAGCTATTAAATCCTAAAATAAAAAGATCATTAAACTTACAACAAAAAGCAATTGCTATGTCAGCAGGGATTCTTTGAAGGCAGTAAGTAACCCTTAACTCCCATGAATGACCAGGACAGAATTTCTCCCTACAGTATCAATACAAAAACAAGCAGACAAGTGATGAGAATTAATAATAAATTTGGAAATTATAAGTTGACCCACTACCAAATTCTCCAAAGTAACATCATAGGAATGCATGTTATTTCATTATCATTATTAGGAATATATGTTATTTCATTTCATTATCATTCTCATATCATATTATCTTCCTATAACATAGGATTGTATGGCAGACAGCAAGGAGAATAACTAATAAGATCTTGGGAGTTAAACAGTTATAAGGGCTTGAATTTTTTTTTTTTATCCTGATACACCTGCCAGAATTATTCATGAGCAGAGTGTTAAAGAACTCATCCATGAGATAATTTCCTCCTGGACTTAACTTCCTTCCACTTTTGTTACAATTTGCTTCACAAGCAAATGAATATTGAGGTCGATTTGAAAAGGTAATCACATGATTTTGAGTGCAATTTGGAATGAATAAGCACAAGTAAATTTTTTCAAAGACTAGCAAAAACTGCATGAGCCTCTGGGGAGAGTGCAATTTTGGTCTTTGAAAAAATTTGCAAGTGCTTATTTATTCCAAATTGCACGAAAAAAATCCTGTGATTATGTATTAATAATATACATGAAAAAATAAGAGGTAGCTTATCATAATTAAACAGAAGAAAAGTACTTGCATCACATGCAAAAATAATTTATTCAAATCCTGCAAGTGACATTGTGCATTCTGTCAAAACAACCGCATACAATCAGAACAATAAGATAAACTGAAATTTTTGCATCTTTCAGGCACAAAAAAGTTCAAAGTCCAGCCAAACAGTTCAAGGAATTGTTCAGTGACTTTGGTAATTCTGTGAGTTTGTTTAATTATTGACCAAACCAAATGTCTGGTTTGTTGCTTTCTTTGCACTCAAGTAACCCTCTTCTGCACTGAATTAACTCTCTCCTGCACTGAATAATTTGAAAACTGCATTTATCTTAACCAATCAACATGCAGAACTGAGTAATTTTTTCATGTGTATTATTAATACTGGGAATAGGATTGGGCAGAGTTGAGTTTGGTCGATAATCATTCAAGTGATTAGAAAATGTTGGACAGCCACAAAGTGAGGATTCTGATTTGTCAATCAGAAATGTGATTGCAAAATGAATTGCACAATGAATGAAGTTCTGTTGCAATCAAACAATAGGAAATTTATTTTGTCACGCCACCATTGGACGTAACTCCATGACATTCCCTCCTTCTGTGTTCTTTGGTGACACTTGTCTTGATCCACTTGGGTAAGATCGAACAGATCCGGCTAAAACACCAGCATGTCTGGGGAAGAGTTTTCCGAGCTGCTCCTCGATAATGGAAAGCTGTTCTTCGCGGTCTTTGTCCTTGTATTTCTCAAACAAACCATTGATCAGGTCCTGCGCTTGCTGTTCTGCGTATGGTTTTACTTTGTCGTTGAAAAGGGCCACAGCTTCGTCGGCTTCGTATTCCTCCAAGGCGTATTTGTCCAGTAGTTTTGGATCGATTGGCATGCACAAGCGGTAAATCGTGACGAAGATCGTTGAGAGAATAACAATACCCAGAACTAAACCCCATGCAATCAACTGTGACGTCGTTTTGGCCTGAACAAATTCTTTATTCACAGCTTCTTTCTGCACGGTTGTGTTCGCTTTAGCAAGTGTTGCGATTAGAGGGCCAAGTTTAGCACAAACGTAATAGTCCTCTTCGACAAAAGCGTATATCAACCAAATCAGTGGAGGCAAACAAGCAACAAACACGCTGTTTTTCGCCTTAATAAACAACAACTTCTTTCTGCGGCATGTCAGTAGACAACAGCCAGTGACAGCTTGCCAAAAAGGAGAAGAAGCCAGAAGCGATAGACAGAAGAGGAAAATAGATGGGCCGAAGATGAAGAGACTGCCGTAAATCAGAAAATGTTCATCCGGACAAGAGAAGATGATGTCGTTGAGAAATTCTTTCACGCCATACAACAGCAACCCGGCCACGGTAGCTTTGATTGAGACTTCGTTCGATCGCACAGCTTCTTTGAACACATTTGTTATGCCTACCAAAACTGTAGCAGCAGTCCCTGACATTTTGAAAGCGAAACTGAAGATAATTATCTTCCGATTCCCTTCAATCACTGCTCAAGTAATCACTGTTCGCGTTACATATTGTGATTGCGTTACATTTGGCCAACCAGATGACGTCAAACTAGGTGAAAAAAACTTTGATTTTTGTGATTGAATTGTAGATACGTTCCCCATTGAAGAAAAAAAAAATCCCATCAGAACTCACACCGCGACAAAATTGACCTCCCTTAGTCTGATTTTGGAATTTAGAAGGACAGGGTTTTTTTTCTTTGCGGTGGAAATTTTGGGAAAGATTTCCGTTTAACCTATACCAATCAAAAACAAAGCCGTAGTTCCAAAGGAAATCTGTTGTTTTGGGGTGTCTCGAAAACTCAGACCTCGAAAACTCAGACCTCGAAAACTCAGACCTCAGACCCAAAAAACTCAGACCCTCTGGGTGTCTCGAAAACTCAGACCCGAAAAACTCAGACCCTCTGGGTGTCTCGAAAACTCAGACCCGAAAAACTCAGACCCTCTGGGTGTCTCGAAAACTCAGACCCGAAAAATAAAACATATTTACACCGTGTGAATGCCGCAAGCCGACTTGTTTACTGAATGAAATGAAATGAATGAAAAACTTTATTTAAGTGTCTATGTTTTTAGCTATAAGCTAATGGGGGACACTAAACAATTTAAAAAGTCACTTTCATTTATAGATGTAGATGATAGTTACGACTGTTCGTCGATAAGTGGCATTAAGTGCACTGACCATGAAAATTATCTGCCGAGAAAAGAAAAAACAGCTTGCAGTGTTAGATACGTGCAACGATCATGAAAATTATACTCAACATTCGTATAGATTTTTCTTTTCGTTATCGTATAAGCCAAGTTTATATCCACAACGTGTCATGTCATTAGAAGCCATTCGCGAGGTGTGTTTCCCCCCCAAAAAAAGTTCTGGTGACGTGTTTTCCCGCCACTTTTTCATTTTACATTCGATCATGCATGACGGTCAAAGATTTCAGGTAAATAATTCATAATTTCCGATTTGAAGATGGCTTTTAAGTTGCCTTATTTTACC